GTATGGTCATTTAATTTGGAATTCCAAGTGAGAATATGGGCAATATCCATCCAGCCCAAGTTTGCTGACATAAACCCATCTGACGTCATAGCAACACGGAAGCACACAGTGAACCGAACAGAAAAACCTTTCCATCAATTTTTACTTTATGTAGTGTTTGTGTTGTGAAGCACATTGTAACAAGCCTGTAGCTGCTATTTTCATTTGTATTCAGTCGATCTGTGCTTGATAGAAGTCTGTGTGAGCATGCATACCTTTGTCTCCATCTACAGCAAATCAAATGCTCACAAGTGCCACAACTTTATACTATTGGCTTTGGTTCACGCCATTATGCTTTGCACTCACTTATGAGCAAGACAGTTGACTTATTTTTAATGCCTTTTCTCTACACTAATGGCGTTGTAGTAACTAATGCAGGTCCATGCTTGTGGAGCTCAGAGAACTTATCATAAAAACTTTAGTTTGCTGCAGGTTTCCATGTTTTCTTGATCAGATGCACCAGGACGCGTTTAGATCAGAAGTTGGGAATATCGACTTGGAATGATCAACTTCCAATTTGCAATGAATTGCAGCATTCTGTCAATATCCAGAATTATGTTGATTTCTAAATAATAGAATAAACAATAAAATGATAAATTATGAAGTATTACAGGCTGTGCCAATGGTACAAAATGGTATAGACTTCTGGTTGCCTAGTGGGTGTGGTCGTCTCTCTCCCGCATACCCCACCTCGTTTGGAAGTGTTGTAAACATTGTGTGGATGAATAAAATCAGGTTCAAAACAATACAACACTATATACAGTACAAATTTAATGTCTGTTCCTTATTTTGCAACTCATTTTTATCTGTCTGATATCAACTAAGCGGAAGATCACGTCAGTTGCTGCCAAATGTCATGAGAGTTTGTTGCTAAAACAGAGACATGTCTTGAACAAAGTTAATTTTCTCCTGATGTGTCTGTCTGAAAAATGCCATTTTCGTGTGAGAATGATTAGAAGGGTTGGGTATTTACTGTGACTATGGGGTGACAGAATTGGTCATAATCTGTTCTCATGTTCACATTTCTCATTGGAATGAAAGGACTCGGGACCGCCGCTAGTCTCCTAAAGAGGCAGGGTAGTGGAGAGACACAGTGACAATGTGACAAAGTGGGCCGTCTCAGTTCACAAAAGTCTCTGGCATGGTAAATGTTAAAGTCACCAAACCATCACGTTAGCAGTATAAGCTATATCAGGCTCTGATACACACACAATTCTCAGTTAATTATAGGTTTGGGCCTTTTTATGAGACCTTTTGGTAAGAGGAAAAATGGTGATGTCTGACAGTCAGTGTGTTCCAACCTCCTCCCACCCCACCCCTCCTCCTTGTCTTCATTTTAGGAGTCGAACAGAGGTAGATAAACAGTTGGTTTCCCCTGTGACGCTGCATTAATCGTTCATTTCATGGGTTAAAAGAGCAAAGTCAATGAGGAGAAGAAATTCTCATCCCATTATCGGCTCGGAGGTGCAAAGTGAGCGCATCAGCGATGAAGCCAAGCATAAAGATGATTACTGCACTACTAGAGCTCCTGATGCTCCACATTGTTCCAATTACAAACTCTGCTGCTGAGGGATTAACTGAAGACGACTGTTAGACTCCGCGCAAAGTGGATTTCTTCCACCTTGTCCACCATTGCTCATTGTCATAATGATACATGGCCTGATGAGATAGTTTGTGCTGACAAAAGGCCTCCATCCTCACTCTTTTATTCCCTATATCTCTTTCAGGCAATCAGAGAGCCAAATACATCACCCTCAGTATTGAAAGCACATAAATCTTGTTTTAAGAGGCTTGTCTCTCCTCAGATTCTGTCAGACAAAGGCTGAGGCTTTTATTTATTACCTCAATCCTTGTTTGGTTGGCTATTGTGTCTTCAACAAAATAATAGTTTTATAGATCAGCACAGATACACATTATAATCAGTGGTAATAAAGATAAAGCTGATGGAGGAGGGTGGAGGCTGAGGAGCTCTAGTGCCATTTTGGTTTTGTATCACACTATTTTACTGTAGAGCTTAGTTCCAGAGCTCCAGCCATTAACCACATTTCATATATGTCTCTTGAAACAAACAAATGTTTTTTTCACACCACACAAAGTGTTTGCTCTCATTTTCTTATTCTATAAGCAAATATATGTGTCAATGATTAATCATGCCTACAGTTTTAGTGACGTTTTGGCTCAGTGTAAAGTTAGGTTTAACTTTTCTTTGTTAAAACTTTGGTTGCATTTTTAGTACATCACTATCCTTCGAGATGTACAGTGAAATGTTAAGTGCAGTAGACATAGAATAACAAAAAGTACAATATAAAGACAACAAAGGACAGAAAAGGCAGTATGTTCCCCACAAAGAAAAGACATTAAAATAAAAAAAAATGTTGGCATCGAATGTTTCTGCAAACCGCAGACATACAATAACATACATTTGTATGTTATTATGTATTGAAAACATTAAAACTATGTTTCAGCAGTGCTGTGGTTAACATGTGGTTAAGTTTAGGCACAAAAATCACTTTGTTATGGTTAGGAAGAGATCACTTTTTAGCCTAAAATACTAATTTCTATTCTCCTTTCTTGTAGCACAATCATGGCAAGAAATGCTGCGATGTCTCTGTAAAAAAACAAACATTTTTTGTGGCACTACCCTAAAACTCAGCAGCAAGAGTTCTCTGCCACACGCGGCCCTTGGTTCACATTACACTTACATTTCAGCAAATTTACTGGCTCCTTGTTAAACAGCGCATCTGTTTTAAAATACTCCTTGTCTTTAAATCTCTCAGTGGCATGGCGCCTCCCTACCTTTCCAGTCATTCCTACACACTGCCGTGTTTACTACGTTCCTCTGAAGCCCACTTACTCTCAACTCACCCTTCCAGGCTCTGTACTATGGGTGACCAGGCCTTTAGTGTTGCTGGCCCTAATCTGTAGAATGCCTTTCCACAGGGTCTGCGTCAGTGCACATCAGTTTCTTAATTTAAGTTGCAACAAAAATCTAATCTTTTTAGAACAGCCTTTCCTGGTGTTTCATAATATATTTTATGAATATGTTCTTTTATCTGTATATGCATTACTGTTGTTTTTGCTCTTTGTTATTGCTTATTTGTTAACTTTTCTTGTGTGCTGACTGTCATATTTGGTTTTGAAAAGTGTCATTGGGTGTCTTGAAAGGCGCTTATAAATAAAATGCATTATTATTATTATTATAATTATTTATCCCCGCTGAAAAAACAGCAATGGGTGACTACAAAACACCCACAGTTTTTGCCCCAAAAGCTGCTGGAAACACAGCATTTACTTGCTGTTGATTTTGAACAGTGGTCTGCAACTTTGCAGGTGCTCGTTAAGGTGACACACTGTCTCCACTGTCACCTCCACCTCACAATAACAAAGGAAAAATGCTGCTGTGATATCCATGAAACATGAAGGTAGTTTTCAGCTTCCTTAGCTCAATCCCTTGGCAGGATCATAGTTCACAATCCTGTTGGCTTGGGGAAAAAGACTTTTCTGAGTTTTTTTCTGTGCTGGTTTGGAGACAGCAGAGATGTTTACCTTGTGGATTCCACGTAGAGTCCATTGCAGGTGTGGTAAGAGTCCTAACAGGTGCTGCACTGATGGTGCACTTGGCCGATTGCAATACCCTCTGCAGGGCTTGGTGGCAGATCAGTGATCTTTGCCATTAAGTTCCACTGTACAATGACTTTGTCTTGGAGTCTTTGTCTTTGGAGACATCCTGAATTTCAAATATTCTGTGAGACTGTGTGGTGTGGAGTTTTAACTGGTGTTATGTATCTTTAAAGTTTTTGTCAGGGTTTCACATTAGCTTAAAAAACATTCAGTCAGCATTTACTTCTACAGCTAGTGACAAAAGCATTGCAGTTATTTTATCATATGAAGGGGACTTTCCCATAAGATCAGATTTGTCATGATGAGCTTTGTCTTCCTTTGAGTTGTCACGTGTCATTTCTTCAGACCAACTCAAACCTCATGCCCGTAGTACGGGTTCATTCATTACCGCTGAAATCATTTTTTGTCTCAATCAAGCCTCTCCTGCACTTTCTTCACCAAAGAGCGATGTCCAGGCACCACAGCTTCAGATTTACTGCTGGTATTGTCTCGTGAGAGGGGAACATCAATCTTTTGTTTTAATAGTGTCTCATTCGTTCACATGCCAGCACCGCGGAATGAAGCCGTAATTACTGGCCTTAATTGATGTGGTTTTACCACCTCAGACGATACTTCAGAGCTCTCCTCCCCCCTCACTGTATAGGCCCCACTGCTGTTGTTTGCACTATATTTCTGCGGGTATTGATCGCTATTATGGTAAATCCGATGGGCACAATGGAACTCTATCAGCAAAATGCAGGTTAATTATCTCAGGGTCACCACTTTGGAATCTTCACAAAGAGCCAGCCGTTCTCTCTTTATTGCTTAACATTAAATTGCAAATACAAATTATTGTCTAGCCCCTTTATTTTGCTAATAAGGGGGCAGGTTGGCAGTCATTAATAGAAGATTACCTCCCATTTTCCACAGATTGTATTTGTGAGTTTTAAACAGGTCCAGACTAATTTATCTGCGGTTCTCTTGTCGTTTCTTTGCCACGTTAATTACTTTTTACTTTATTTAATGCCTGATGTCTATGGTTTGTGAACAGTGCATTAGGAGCAGCTTTAAAGTTTGGCATCTTATATAATTAAATATATTAATTAATTAATTCCCTTGATAGATCATTTCATCATGTCATAGAAATAATAAACTTATAATCAATGAAGCCCTTTCCAGTGGATGCACAGATAAGACATTAGAAACTTTTTTTGAAAGTTATATTTCCTGCTGTTAACAGAGCTGTCAGACATTTGACTGGCTCGAGATAAATTGGCCTTATAAGAAGGTGCAGAAGCCTATTGATGGGAGGAACCAAAGTTAATGGAATTGATTGTGGATATTGTGTTTGCTTTCTGCAGGGACTCCAGTGAATCGGATTCCTATCATGGCCAAGCAGGTGTTGGATCTCTACATGCTCTACAAGCTCGTCACAGAAAAAGGCGGCTTAGTGGAAGTCATCAATAAGAAAATATGGCGTGAGATCACCAAAGGCCTTAACCTCCCTACCTCCATTACCAGTGCAGCTTTCACTCTACGAACACAGTGAGTACAAGCGCAGATGATAACTCCAGATGACTGATAACCTGCACTCAGTGCTCCTAACACCAGGCTAGCCAGCCTAGCATGTGTGTGTCCAGCATCGAATAAGATACTTTGATGTTTATATTATAACTGGTGATTTTGTGGTTCGGTCCCTGTTGCTTTAATTCATCAGCTTTAATTAAAATATCTTTTCTTGAAATGCCTATCAAAGGTTTATTTGATTATATGTGCCCAGACAGGTGAAAAGCACACTGATCTTCATTTCCTGCAGCAGTGTTGTATGAGAGGTCTTTACATGCCAATCCTTGCTGTGCTTTGTGGTAATTATAGTATTCTACATGGCTTGGCATTTAATCTGCAGTCTCAGTGTTGTTAGATTGCACTATTGCACATTTCAATTCAATTCAATTCAATTCAATTCAATTTTATTTATAAAGCCCAATATCACAAATCACAATTTGCCTCACAGGGCTTTACAGCATACGACATCCCTCTGTCCTTTGGACCCTCACAGCAGATAAGGAAAAACTCCCCCAGAAAAAAACTTTAACGGGGGAAAAAAACGGTAGAAACCTCAGGAAGAGCAACTGAGGAGGGATCCCTCTTCCAGGATGGACAGACATGCAATAGATGTCGTACAGAACAGATCAACATAATAAATTAACAGTAATCCATATGACACAAGGAGACAGAAAGAGAGAGAGACAGAGAGACAGAGAGAGAGAGAGAGAGAGAGAGACAGAGGCAGGACAGACGGTAATGACAGTAGCTTACAACAACATTAATGAAAGTAATAATATTATAATTATAATTACAGCTCTTGTGGTACAATATGTTGAGAGTATATTAATATCTGATAGTGTACATATGTGACAATAATCATATGTGTATAATGACAGTAGAAGTATGACTAATGATAACAGCAGCAGCAAGAGGCTTCTGGCAGGACCACAGCAGCAGCACATCGCTGCGATTTAAGTTAACCTGCGAGACAGTGGAGCACAAAGGCTCCAGAGAAGAAGCCGAGTTAGTGAAATGCAGTACGGCCGAGTTAGCAAGATGCAGTAACAGGACATGAGTGTTAGCAAAGGAAAGAGAGAGAGAGAGAGAGAGAGAGAGAGAGAGAGAGAGAGAGAGAGAGAAGGAGAGAAGGTGCTCGGTGTATTATAGGAGGTCCCCCGTCAGACTAGGCCTAAGTCAGCCTAACTAGGGGCTGGTACAAGGCAAGCCTGAGCCAGCCCTAACTATAAGCTTTATCAAAGAGGAATGTCTTAAGTCTAGTCTTAAATGTGGAGTTGGTGTCTGCCTCCCGGACCGTAACAGGAAGATGATTCCACAGGAGAGGAGCCTGATAGCTGAAGGCTCTGGCTCCGGATCTACTTTTGGAGACTTTAGGGATCTCGAGTAACCCTGCTTTCTCAGAGCGCAGTGTTCTGGTGGGATAATAAGGCACTATGAGCTCTGTAAGATATGACAGAGCTTGACCATTTAGAGCTTTATAAGTTAACAGTAGGATTTTAAATTCAATTCTGGATTTTACAGGGAGCCAGTGCAGAGCAGCTAAAACAAAAGAAATATGATCTTGTTTCTTAGTTCCTGTCAGCACACGTGCCGCCGTGTTCTGGATTAGCCGGAGAGAGTTTTCAAAGACGATTAGAGCTACCTGATAATAGGGAATTACAGTAATCCAGCCTTGAGGTGTGTGAAGGGTGGACCAATTTTTCTGCATCTTTTCGGGTCAGGATAGGCCTAATTTTCGCAATATTACGCAGATGAAAAAATGCAGTCCGTGAGGTTTGTTCTAAATGTGAATTAAAAGACAAATCCTGGTCAAATATTACTCCACGGTTTCTTACGGTAGTGCTAGAGGCCAGAGCAATGCCATCCAAAGAAAGTATGTCATCAGATAAAGAGTCTCTGAGTTGTTTGGGGCCAAGATAATTACCAAAGTTGAAGGATGGAAGGTTTGTGCCAGAACATGTGTTATTGCCATTGCAGTATATTTGTTTGAATCTGGTCACTGTCTTGAAGCCATTTACAAATTGCACATAGTAATTGCACTTTTTTCAGATGGCAGCAACATGCTAATATATATATCAACTGAACTGAACAAGTTTTTATTTTAGATTTTCATATTTGCACTCTTTCCTTTGTACTGCTGCTGCATAGCAGTTTCACTCAAGACAAATGAAGTTCTGTATTGTCTTTATCTTAAATAATCCAGCAATTGTGATTAAGATGCCCTAAAAAGTTTACAACATCACTGACCTTTACAGCATTAATTAAAATTCAATCATATGACTTGTTATTGATCTTACAATTTTTTCTGATTGCTTAGGCCAGGGGTAGGCAACCTGCGGCTCCAGAGCTGCACATGGCTCTTTAGCCCCTCTCCAGTGGCTCCCTGTGGCTTTGACAGAAAATTATATGGAAATGAAAGACAGTTACTTTTTTAACATTTTAATTTTCATTTATTGTTGTAGGCTGAAAGTTCTTCAAGTGTAAAAAATGTGTAGCCTATACAACGATTTAAAATATGTATTAACATTTCGTCAACTAAAATGAGCATCATGTATCTGGCCTGGCACCTTTTCCTCTAAAAACATCTATAGCAATGGCAACAGTATTCCGGAATCATCCTAGATAGGCTAGCTGTGGATTCCAAATCCAAAAACAGGGATGTCTCAGGGGAAAATAGAGAATGTAATTCAAGATCAAAACTTTAATTTTCAGTTTCAAATTTTATTTTTTCAAGTACAAAACATTTGGCCCCAATATGGCTCTATAGTAATATTGCTGGGACAAATTTGTTTGCCTATCAGCAACACTGCAAAGTTAAAGTACCAGATAATCAAAAGTAGCCGAATGCAGAATAGCCATCTTGTGCTAAAACATATTAATGAATGCTCATTTAGATCTATTAGTAATGTTGATGGGCTAAATTCAGCTTAAAAGGCTGTGTTACCTTTATTATGAGGCTCAAATATGTTTTGTGGCTTCACAAGTATAACCTGCAAAAATGTATACATCTCTTACAAAAGCGAACAATTCTTGCAAAACTCTTCAAACTCTTTTTCTTTTTTTTGTGTCAGTACAGGACACACAAACCATCATTTGATGGCACAGGAAGCATCAAATACACAGTGACAGTATAAATGAAAAACACCTGTGGCTTTTGCTTTTTCTGTGTACAGGGCAATAAAGTTTGCAATACAGCTTTCTCATACATGCAGTAAACATATGCACTGCACACACAGTTATCCAAATGTGTAAAGTATAGATGTGTAGTCCAAATGTAGCACACTATCTATATAAAAACAATGGGAAACACTCCTCAAACAACAAAAACATAAACAAAAATATTAATCTTATAACAAAAGAAATACATGAATAGGCTAAATCTCAAAGACTTAATCTATATCTCTCTGCCCGATATTGGCCTTCATTGTAGTCTGAGTGGGCGGAAGTTTGCTGCATAGATCAGCCTCGCATTGGGTGGAACGAGCCACCCGCTGAAGTCCCGCCCTACCACCTCCGGTTGTGTAGCAGTTTTCAACCGTGTTCATCACGTCCTTTACTAACTTTTGCGGTGTTTGATCTTGCAGGGGTGTAGCCATTTTTCTGCCATGGTTCGCGTCCTGAAGGTGATATTTTTGTGGGCGTGTTACACCAAAACCTGTTTCCCCCTGGCAATATTTTTGCAAGCGCACCGTTGCTGTGGCACTGCCCAGAACGATTGTGATTGGTTGAAAGAAATACAAGCAGCCGGGGCGTTTTTTTCTCCAATCTTAAATTGAGAGTTGGCCCAGCCAGACCTTTCTTTTCTTGAGAAGGTCTGCTGAGCGAGACTACCTTCATTGTTATCCAAATGTTTGTCTGTGACCTATTCATAGTGTTTAACCTGTGATTTGTAAATCATCTCACTATCTTAAAGAGTTTTCACATGTGTCAGTGTGGAAAAGGCAATCAGCAAAATAATGTAGCAATGGAAATGGCAGTGTTTACAGTTTTGCTAGAAGTGTGTTATTACTGTAACACAATTAAAGAGCCATATTTTCAGAAGTAGCAGTGTAGACACACGTGTCAGTGAAAAGTCCAGACTCCTCTGACAGTGAACAGATTTGTCTAAATATCATGCAGTGGAAGCAAACGTATTCAGACTTTTAGAGGCTCCTTTGTGCTAGTTTCACTTTCAGTCAGGACTTTGGATTAATCATATTAAATTTGAGGTCCTGTTGCTCTCTCTCTTTTCATCCTTCCACCCCACTGTTCCTCTCTGTGTCTGCCGTCTTCTGTCATAAAAAGCCAAATAGAAACCCAACTAGCTGTATACATGGCAGAGATATCTATGTTTTCAAGGAGAGGTCCGGTTTCTCTAATTTTTTACCATGATTACTGAACAGTTTTCCCCATTTACATGTCATTTAAGAAATCAGCTTACTGGAGAACACCGACTGTAACCTGGTTACTCAGATGCTGCCATTACAAATGTCGTCTGAAGTGACCCACTGCAGATCCTAATCAGATCCTTTATCTGAGATAGAGTAGTAATTATAATTTGTAAACTGTTCTTGATGCTAGATAAATCAATTTCATTTTTTTCAGGCAAACCCATGATATCATTTAAAGTATGCAGTTTGAATGGTCGTGGTTTTATTGTGGGACTGATCTTTTCCTGCAAAAATCAATTGATTTATTAATGATTGACAATATGTGACAAAATGACACAGTGATAAAAAGCAGAGTAAATGACTGAACTCTTCTTCTTCCCTCTAGGTATATGAAGTACCTCTACCCATATGAATGTGAAAAGCGCGGACTGAGCTCCCCCGGTGAGCTCCAGGCAGCTATCGACAGCAACCGGCGGGAAGGTCGTCGGCAGAGCTACGGCTCCGCCATCTTCAACTACTCTCCTGTGGGAACCCCCACTCTCCTGTCCTCACCAAAGATACACATGTCCCACCTGTCTATGCCCACTCACAACAGTGGCCATATCTCCCACGTGCCTGTAATCAAGAAAGGTAACATAAGACAAGATATAAGATATACAATCTGAAGACATGGCAAAATAAAATAAGACAGTACAACAAAGTCTTAATATTATTTTATTACTATTTACCTCAACCGCAGAGAGAAATATATTTCATAATATTTGAGTAAGAAGCCTCACCATTTTTTTAATTGAATTGAATTTTCAGAATTGCTGTTCTGATCTGCACTGGTTTGCTATTAACTCAACACTGTCCTCCACGCTTACTCATTGTCTCAACTTTAATGTCCATTTCCACACCATTAATTCATCAGTAATAACAATTTCATGCCATACTCACCACTCTGCTGCTCGCCTTGGATTTTTTGGAACAAGAAGTGACCATATTTGAATGAGAGAGTGGGATAGCCCTGATGCTAGTTGCTAACTTGGTTACCATGGTGCATTTACAGCTATGGTTAATTGTGATACCACTAACATAATTTTAATTTTCATCAGCAAAAAATGGCTTAAAACTAGAGGGTCTTTTAGTACAACCAAATTCTGAAAAAACGATCAAGTTCCATTAACTGAAGTAACGACAGGTACAGCTAAACCTACACCTATACTACTCCTATAATCTGGGGTTACAAAATGGTACATTGTTGCTGACTTGTCAACGGATGGCACCGACCTGTCACAAGTGGCCACACCCTTAATCATGCATAACTTTAAGCCTCAATAATATTTAAATGGGTGAGTTAAAATAAAAATGGTAAGTGTTCATGAATGTTGAAATTAGCTATAGAGACCAAGACCATTTTTTGTACCAGGCTGTAAACGCATTTATTTCTGCTGTAAAGTTGGACATTTTAATATGGGGGTCTATGAGGATTGACTCAGGCTGTGTCTGAAATCATTCACTTATTCACTGCTCCCTACTCACTATATGGGGAATTGTTTGTAGAGGACTGTATAGTGAGCTCATCTGCAACATGAAAAAAAAACCTTTGGACACCACTCAGGTCATATTCACAGTGCTGTTTATTACGTCATTGCGGTTGCACAATTAAAATGGTTCCATATCAGCGTTGGCTGGTGAACCATCCATAACAAATACCAACACACATATGTGTGATAAAAACTTGAAATTATATCTAGCATATTTTCCCAAATTTTTGTTTGTGTTGTGTTGAGTGTTGTGTGAGATATGCTGCTCTGCCCACATTAAACATAGGCCTTTTAATAACAGTACAGTGTTAGACAGACAAGAGGACAAATGGAATAAGGCTGTGCAAATGTGCATTATATTAAAGTTACCACAACATCATTTGCAAATTTTTGAAAATGGCTTTTATTTTAGAATTTAGAATTTATCTTATGGCAAGATAACATGGGCATGGCTGGATTCGGCTTGAGAAAAGTAAGAAATGTTGACTTGACCAACCCATTTACAAACATGAAGTTAAATTAATCATGATGCAATCGATAGGCCAGACCCGAAATAAATTAAATCTTTTTGTCCCTCTAAAAGATGATTCATTTCCTCCTTATAAATATCTTTCAAAGGAAAGGCTGCACATGATGCATTACACAGATCACAACATCTTTTTGAGAAACTGTTGCGTGATTACCAGGCCTCTTAAGAAGAAGTTGGTATGTTCACATGTCAGAAATGTATGTCACAATAGCCTCCTTATTTAAATTCATTTATACTCATGCAACTTGTGGGTAGTATGGTCATTTCCCCCTAAAGAGGAAACATCTTGCAGGACTTCCTCATCACTGACTACTGATTTCCGAGACACACTAATGCACATGAAAAGCATAAGAGCTCTTTGATTACATGTCTTCAAGGAAAAATAGCAGCTGGCTAATCTGTGTAGTGTGCCACGAAGACATCAGCAACGTCCAGAGATCAGTTATGTTTGTTTCAAGTTATTTTAGTGTTGTTAGTGTAGTTAATCTGCAGGGTTAAGATATTAAATATGATCCAATTTTAAAAGTCAACAAATTGAATAACTGACATCTGCCAGCATCATCTGTTACTGATGGGTTAACATTGTGCTTGATGTCATCATCAATACAATGCACGTTGTATTACTTTTTGTAGTACAGAATAATTTTAAAGCAACAGTGAGAGCAAAGAAAAAATAAAAAATGTGAAAGTTTACTGCAGAGTATTATCTACATTACCACTCTAATTTAAGGAAAGGTGGCAGGAGTCACATAAAGCCTGTTCACATGACTTTTCACTCAAGCATGCAGACGTGTGTTGAGAACTAGATATCACCTTCTCAAGAATATTTTTCCCTCCAGAAGAGCCCATGATGGCCAGCTGCCTGCCCAGCCGTGTAGCCCTCCCCATGTCACCCAGCAGCCATCATGCCGCAGCTGTGGCCGCCCAGGCAGCCGCAGCTCAGGCAGCGGCGGCCGTCCAGGCAGCAGCCCTGGAACAGCTCAGAGAGAAGTTGGAGACCGGTGAACCGCCAGAGAAGAAGATGATGATGGTGGCAGAGGAGCAGCAGAGGATCATGCAACATGCCCTGCAGCAGAACCTGCTGGCTATGGCCACCCAGCTTCCCCTCAACATCAAACTCAATAACAGAGGTGAGACAAACTCAGGAGGTTTTAGTACACTGATATGTGTGGACTTAATATGTTTGTCTGTGCTCTCTTTAGTGTTAGTCTTGATTTTTCTGCATTTGGCCAAGTGGTCAAAGAACATTAGAGACTAGACAGGAGACTTTCCTCTGTGCTGTAACACCATCTATGTTCCCTCACTTACACCTCGACACTTCATAGGTAATACAGTGTTTATTCGTACACAGTCAAGGGATAAGTCTGTTGATATTCAATATTTTGATTACTGTTAACAGATCTCCTGAAAAGACTTAAACCAATAATGAATGTGTCTACTAACCAGTACTGTGTGTGTATCTACAGTCCGATATATCCTCTTCCTCTGTGCCATGGAACTCTATTGTTGTTAAAAACACATCGGTGAAACACACTAGCCCTTTTAGAGACGCTATAAAGTCCCTTCTCTATGCCTCCTTTGCATTTTCACACAGCACCAAACAGTATCGGCATCATCATGCCACTTAAGTGTGTGATTTTAGACAGCATGTCTGTGTCTTCGTAGCAAAAGAGGCATGGCAGGTGTGACACATAACATATGTGTCAGCAGCGCTATATAAACAATGACAATGGAATTAGCTTGGCAATAACAATCAAATATTCACTAGAGCAATAATTGTGAATTAATCTGCCGCTGAAAATAGTTCCCAGCAAATGCACTGTTTCCTCTTGTTGGAGAAATGTTTGATAAAAATTGAGCAGCTGAGACTTTTTTTTTTTTTTAATTACAATATATTTGTGAGTTATGCATTGGCACACCCCAAAGCAGGGCCAGGGAGCCATGGCCATGGCAAGGGAACATCTGGCTGAAGAATAGCAATCTTTCTGAATGAAAATGGGTGCTCACATAAAGCAACCCCTAGGAAATGTTTTAGGGGGGTGCCACTGGAGGTATGTCTTTGCTAAGAACCAGTGGGCTTAGAGCTATGAGTCACAGACAGAGTCGGGAAGTAAGAAGGTATTTAGAGACAGACTAACACATTGTTGGTTTTGAGCTTTTTATGGGATTTGTTAAAACTAATGCCAGCCTCATCATCATTGGAACCCCATTTAAAGTATCCTTTCACTTGAATTATTACATTTAAATGTGCATCTAATATAAAACAGTGATGTCTGAGATTAAATATGCCCGTTCAGTGTAAACCATGTTTTTTATTTAACCTTCATTTTAGCAAAAACATTCCAATTAACATGTAGTGACTTTTTTTACAAGAGAATCTTGGCCAAGACAGCAGCATTAAAAATGTCACATACAAGAAACAGGCAGCAGATTTAAAACAAACCACCATAATGTCATGTATAATGATTATAATGTATGATTTAAAATCAGGTGTTAGTGTAATGTTGAGGTTGTTAGCTGCCTCCTATCAGACTGAAATGACAGTGTGTCTACCACTGTGGGTGGTGTGTCAAAAACAGGTAATGGCCCTGCCGGTGAGGCTGTCTGAGATCCAGCTGTGAAACGCCTCAACCACTAATGTGCACATAGTTCATCATATAACATGTGTAATTTGAAGCTCAGCTCCATAGATGTTATGAAGAAATAGTTCTTGTTGACCACAGGCAGAATCCAGCTTGTCATGAGTAAAAATGCCCGTCTTGCCGGGCTGTGGCTGCAGCCAGCATGGCTCGTGACAAGCCATAAGTCATATATGACTTAATGATAGAGGCTAAAGGAAGAATAAGGGGCCTATCTGCTCAAGTGTGATATCATTTCTGTCTGCATCACTGCCTCTCTCATATTAGTCATAATAGCGGGCTTTGCACTTGATACGTGATGGAAAAATGAGTGAGAATCTTTCTCAGGTTAATTCCCACGCTGGTCGTCTGGCTTTGGCCCTCACATATAAACACTGTCATTTAAAGATTACACCCAAACACTATTATTTGTCTCCACCCAGATGCACTTAGATGGATAAATTTGTGTTTACAGATGGTTTGATATCACATCAGCCCACTGAGATTACTTAAGACATTTCAGTTACTTCAGTACAGTCACATTTATTCAGAGAAGTTGTCCAAGTGTGTGCTGCTATAGGATTCATCTATAACTGACATGTACAAATGGTTGTAACATCTTTTGACAGTTCTTTCTCCCCAGAACTCTTTAATAAAGCTCTCCTTATCCTGTCACTCTCTGAATTATCACCAATACTCCAGCGGGCGCTCCTCTTGCTTCTTCTGTTCCCTTTCTAAATGCTCATATTGAGTTTTTCTCTCTCTCGTTCTCTGCCTCCTCTCTTGACAGATGATAGACAAGAGACCGCATTGAACCTGTCTACCAACGGCATTAGCAGCATCAACATGTCAATAGAAATAAATGGAGTTGTCTACACAGGTAAATAGAGGGGCCGTTTGCTGATGTAATTGCAGGCAGGAAATTCAATAAGTTATAGCAGCACCCTGGTGCTTAGTCCTCTACGCAATTTGATGTCTTTGCTATAAAATCCATCGTAATGAAGTGGCAGTCCAATAGAGTTAAAAAAGTTAAATATCTCAAAATTGGGCCTGTGGATTTGAGGTCGATGGGGCTTATTGTCTTATGTGCTTGCCTGGAGCGTGTGTGTGTGTGTGTATGTGTGTGCGTGTGTAGCTTGTGTCTTGAGGTAATTACTGCCTCTCTGCTTTAACATAGGCCATTCATGTCACTATATAAGCCTGGTGGCCGTCACATCATATCTGAGCCAGTGTTCAACAGCCAGAGTTGACTTGAACCTGCTCATTCTGCCACCAGCTGTCCTCATGTTTGAGTCTGTGGATGAGTATGCTGAAATATAACTGTTGACAGAAATTTGCATAGACCGAATCACTGTTACATAGCGCTAACAACAACAGTCACTTCTTGGTAGACAACTGGCAATTGATTTCAAATGCAGAGAGATGTTAAATTAGCCAACTTGTTTATTTCTATTGTCATTTTCAGTCAGAACTCTAATGTATAGTTAAACTGTTTTAATATACTGTGTTGGCTTGCTTTCATCTTTGATAAATCAAATCAGAGTCCTGCACGGGTCCATTTTTTAAAAAACAACACAGAATCTATCTGTTACCCGTTGTTATGTCTAGGTCAAAGCTGCACCCGCCTGCACCCATTAATGAAAGTCCCGAGACCTGTCCTTCCCCCCTATATAAAACACACACAAGCTATAGTCACACGCATTAAGCTGGGTTCTCCATTCTTGAATTACAAATCCAGCAAAGGAAAAGTCTCTTTTACTGGCTGCGCTGACAATAGTGATTTATAGGGGTGTAATGATTCATTTTTACAACGATTCAATTCATATCATTTTCCATGGTTCCGATTCGATTCAAGAACGATATTTGGCTCATCTAGAACGATACGATTCGATTCGATTCAAGGACTAGAAATCGATTCAGTAACTTTTTTTGTTTTGCCAAAAACTGAACCAGTGTGACTGTGAAATACATACCTGAATACTGTGGACAGTGCAGGGGAGTTTTTTCTTGAAAGAGAATCAGGGATTAATTAATTTTGGATATAAATAAGTAAACACAACGATTAATGGCAAAAACATTCACCTTTTATTAAATACTATAATTATCACAAGTTCAGAACCTGCTGATCAAAAGACAAAAAAAGTGTGATCAACATTCCTCCAGGCTGAATTACAACTGAACAGTAGGTTTCCCTGGTACTTCTCTTGTGATTTTCAATCAGTATAAGAGGAGTACAATAATACACAAAAATAAAGTGCAACCTATTAGGTTGAATGGACAGTAGGTTTCCCTGCTTCTTCTCTGTCATTTTACTCAGTCAGTACACATTCAACAGACATCCACCGACTTGTCCAGAACACCTCCTTTTTTGCAGAAACCAAAGTGTTTCCACACACTCGACTTCAAATTCGGCTTGAAAATCTCCAGCTCGTCCGCCTCCTCTTTGCTGTTAGCCATGCTTCGTTTTGTTTTGAGTCGGCACTACCGGCACATGCCGATGACGTCACACTCAGGGAGAGTGAAGCGAATTGAGCAACTTTACGATTAGAAGTGATAAAAATACATGTATATAACGTTGTCTTGCTTAAATACACCGCACAAATGCTTAGTAATCGATATAATCGATTTTTGACCTTGTAAATCGATTTCACAGCGATATCGTCATCAGTGAGAGACAACTTGCCATGGCTCTATCGATGCAGTTAGATTGTAGGAAAATAAATCGATGCATCGATGTAATCGATGAATCTTTACACCCCTAGTGATTTAGATATCAAAATATTACACATAGACTGTGTATCTTTTTCATTTTTTTATTCTGAATACTAAAAACTACGCTGCCAGCACGCTTGTAGTTATATACTTTTTTTACCCGATACGTAGCATTCGGAGGGTTACCTGTCGGGTACTGACATGGAAGCTAAGCAATGTACTGCTGTGGAGGGGGCTGCGGTAAATGTATTTTAGCCACACAAAAAAAAATACAGTACGCTATATTTGAATATTTGCTTCACTTTACCTTACACACTAAACAATTGATGTTTTCAGTAGACACATCAATATCGGTGGACGCCATTTGATTTTATGCATATGACACAAGGATCTTCTACCTGGAAGTTACTATAAATAAACATTGTGATTCGGTCTATACATTTCACAACTGGTGTAGTCTAATGTGTTTTTTCAGCAAACTCATCTCAGTGTCCCTGGGTCAGATAAGCTGTTTGCAACAGAAGAGTTTTTGATATTACCACCGGGAGGAAATTTTCTAATCTTACACATAGTGACTTCAAAGAGCAATTTAAAACATAAACCATTTCTTGGAGTTAGTAAATTCTATATACAGTCACTTCATCATACTTAACACTGATTCTGGTCCAGCCAGTTTATTGCCTTTTCACACAGAAAATCTGTCATTCCTGTCGTCTAAATGAAAAAAAAAAGAGAAAAATTGCAATATGGCCTTCCACACCTCCAGAGTGCAAGGCAATGTCCTGTTGACTCTCACTGTATCCGAAATCACAAACTATGTACTGCATATCCAATATGTGTACTATAATTTAACATACTTCTGTGTGAATAAACAATAGTACTGTATGTAGATTGTTGGTCACATTGAGCTGTAATTACCATGTCCCTTCCTGAGAGCCTCCTTGCCAGTCGAAGATGCGTAACCATGATAACCCATGCCATCTTCAGCTCTATCAGCAATTTAAAGTAATTTAAAAAACTTAAATTGAACAGTTATTGTTGTTTCAGAACTGTCTTGATTGCTCTCTGTGACCATTGTTGTACTGCATTGTATTGTGGGATATTTATGCCAATGTAGTGGTCAGTGTTTGCATACTGTAATATTTCACCAGAATTAGTATGCAGTTTACATACTAATGGTTTCATGCCAAGATTTTGGCCATACTGAACATCTTGCATATGTTAATGTACTGTACTATGTAGCATGTTTGTATGGGATTTTGGATGCAGCCTTTTACTCTGAAGAGATGAGTTGTTTTTTTTTCTGCCACAGACTGTGGGAAGTCTAGATACTGCATACAGTCTCTGGAGTTCTTCCAGAATTCATGGAACCATGCTCTCAAATGTAACTCTCATTTGGAGCAGCAATTTCAAAAGACCTCGACTGACATTATTTCGAGCACAGTTATTTGTGTGTGAAACGGCAGGAAATGCTGACATACAGCAGTACTAATTAAAAGTGAGACTGAAATGCATCCTGTTCAGACAGGTTAGATTAAGCAATGCTGGAGCAATATCACACCTGCGAGGAAGTGGGAACGTCAGTGGTTGTCAGGGGTAACCACAGGATAGGGTCCTGTTTTTCTTTTGTTTGTTTTTTTGTGACGAAAGTGTTAAATTGCTCTTGAAGTTCTATTAATTTCTGAAATGTCTGCACTGTACAACTGTAAAACTTAAAACACATGAAAAGCAGACCGAGTGCATTAATTTAATTCGATTCAATTCTCCATACATAGGGTTTCTTCCTACACTGTTTTTAAGGTAAGACAAAGATAATGGTGGGCAGTACCGTGATGCCATTTCTAGTAAACAGGCTAAAGATACATAAAAAACAGTGGCATGGTCCTTTAAGAACTGAAACCATGGACAGTGTGGAGTACGAGGCTGACATAGACTTGATGTGTGCTCTTCAGGTGTCCTGTTTGCTCGGCAGTCGGCCATAGCGGCGATGACGGGACACCGTGGGAAACACAGCAACTGTCAGACTCAGGGAAAGACCAGTCCCACACAGTTCCAGCCCTCCTGCTCCTCCTCCTCCTCTTCCTCGTCCTCCTCCTCTTCCTCACTCCATGGACACAGAAACTCCTCCCCCTGAGTTTCCTGTCCCTCCTCACCTCCTCTTCCTCCTTCCATTGCACCAGGAAGGAGATCCATTCTGTTAAAGACACCGAGCAGTTGGAGACATGATCATCAGACAAATACCAGTTGTTTTAAAAGGCGGCTTTCGCTCCATCCACTCCATCAGATTCCTTTAAGGTCAGCTAACAACAGATTACAAAGCAGCAAACATATGTACAGGCGAGAAATCTTCCAGTCGCCCTTTCCCCCAGTCTCCCTGTTCTGAATTAACAGCGTGTTTCAAGGACATTTAACCTTTGTGTGTTACCTTTGTCCTTCAAGTCGTCAAAGACATCTGTGCAGTGTGGAACACTTCAAAAGCATGGTTGCCCATCAGTTTAAGGTGCAGCCTGGATGAAGCCAAATGAAGACTCCCTCTTGTGCACCATTTCAATCAAAAGATGAGGCCACTGAACAGCAAGACCTTACAGCTGTTTATGCTGACCTCAGAAACTCACTGCTTACAGCTGATACCAAAGAAGAGAACAAATCTAAACTGGTTTAACATGTCCAGCATTTACAGTAAGCCTTAGCGGTAATGATCAAAACTGAGGAATATTGCAAAAATACCAACAGACACATCCAGAGTGGAAATCATCATGTATTCTGTAGAAAGGCTGTCCAGACTCCTTAATAGTATGGTCTCATGTTCAATTTGACAGTTGGTTAATGATGTTTCAACATATAGTCAACAAGGCTAGAAAGAGTGATGTGTGTGTACATCCACACAGTTACATTATATGTGGATAATGAGAGGAGTTTACTGACTGAGTCTCTTCTTTTGAACACAGTCAGCTCAGTCCACAGACAATCAGCAACATGTTAGCTAACTAGTGAACAGGCTAATGGAACCAAGCATACAAGGTTTTAGTTAACACACAGTTCTGTACACTAGTAACAAACACTATGTCCCAATCCCATATTGTAAAACTAATACTATACATATACACTGATGAGCCAAAACATTAAAACCACTGACAGGTGCCATAAACAACATTGATCATCTTGTTACAGTGCAATGTTCTGTTGGGAACCCCGTGAGGATCGTGACAAAGAGCTCAAGGTGAAAACCTGGCCTCCAAATTCCCTGTATCCCCATCTGATCAAACATCTGTGGAATGTACTTGTACCCTACCTCACAACCCACAGGACTCAAAAGATCTGATGGTAACTCCCCAATGCCAGGCCCCAGAGGACACCCTCTAGAGGTCCTGTGTCCATGCCTTGACAGGTCAGAGCCAAGTTCGGTCCAAGAAGGACCCACCATGTATCAGGGGTACCTCTGCGGTACCAGCACATCCCTCAAATGTTCAATCAAATCAGGATCTGAGGTATTTGGAGGCCAGGTCAACACCTTGAGCTCTTTGTCCCGGTCCTCTGGTCATTCTTGAGCAGTTTTTGTGGAGTGGCATGTCGCATTGTCCTGCAGGGGGGTTCACTGCCTTCGACAACTGCCATTGCCAAGGGGGGGTTTATTTTGCAACGGTGTTTGGGTGGTTGGAGCATGTCAAGTAGCATCCACATGAATGCCTGGACCAAAGGTTTCCCAGCAGAACATTGCACTGTAACAAGAGGATCAATGTTATGGACTTCACCCACCAGTGGTTTTAATGTTTTGGCTGATCTGTGTATATGTTATCTGGATCAGATTAAACTGTCTGGGGGTCCTGGGCTAAATTCATACAGAGTGCTCCAGGGATGACAGTTTTCTGAAGGCCTATGCAGAGATTAGCATCGCCCTGGTTCCCTCGACAGAATATAAGTTCTGTGGCAAACAAAAGTGTATGATACTAGCAAATTGTGTTTAGCAAGATAATCTTCCCAAATGAACACCACTTTTATGATTTTTGAAGAGTAAATGCAATTGCCAGAAGTAAAAAGCTTGACGTTAGACCCTAAACAAACTTCACTACGGTTATATGGCTTAACGTCGCAACCACAACGAGGCTGTACATCTGTGTTGGGTGTGATGACATTCTGTAGTCTCATTTAGCCTCTTGTTAGCAACCACCTTTTTAAAGACACATGAAAGCTTCAGAATTCATGAAGGAGGTATTTACTGACATATTTTATGTTGTAGAACAAAACCTGAAAGTCTCTTTTTTCAGGCATTTAACCAAAAAAATTAAAAAAACCCGAAGATGAGGGAATCAGGAGTGCTAAAATGCTAACTGATTTCTGGGTTTTAGGACTCATCCCTGCACCGCTCTATTCAGGAGCCACTTAAGGGAACTTAAACTGCATTCACATGGACAGTAGACAGCAAACAACAGCAAGACAGTAAAATTAAGTAAAACTGGCAAAGAATATCGGCAATGGTAATGGCAGACAGCATTTCTGTCCGGAGTTAAAATATGTGAGCTTTTTTCCATCCTTCACAACAGAATTTATAACCAATTTATAGCCAGACTCACAAGAGGAGAAAACACGGTTCAGCTCTGCATTTACTGGACATTACTATAATAATTACATAAAATCATAGACATGAAATAACTATATTTAATACATTTTATTCCATTCTTTGTAAGCAATACAGCATCAGGATTGCAACATATCATCATGCATGTTTTGTTTTACTGTCCTGCGACTCCCTCAGGCTGACTCAGAGGGTGTTGTCTGTCTGCTGTCCACTGATTTTATGTGAACGCAGCATTAGCATTACAGCATTTTTTTTCTTTATAGTGCTTTAGTTGCCACACAGATAACCTGGAGCCTCTGAGGTTGCTGGTCACTGGGGCAGTTGCCAGCTCTGCCCCACTAAAACACACAAGAAATTGAAGAAATGAGGAAATGCACATTTGCAGAGTGAATAAATCTGAGCTCAGAACACCATTAGAAATTTCAAATTAGAAAATGTCACCAAAGATTTATTACTTACAACACCAACCAAACGTTTTCTGCATCTCTCCAGATATAGACATACATATTTTAAGAACTTGATACCAGACACCATGTACAAAAAAATAAAGGTTTTATAGGCCCTGGTAAGACATTACAAATATTACATTTTTGTGGTTTGACTTTTTTTTTTCTTAAAACAATATAATAATTGACCCTCAACAGTTTACTACAGATCTCTTTTATAACAGTGGTCTATCAGGAAAATGCTTTTTGGGCTGCATTTGTTAATGCAGTACTGACAAATTGCAAGCAGGGCTTCTTGCCCAACATATATGTTATGTTGTGTATTGCAGTTAGGAACATCTTAGGAACTCTTTCACACAGTTAGGATGAGTTTATAATATGCATTTGGGACACACTTAGCTGGTGTACTAATCAGATGTATTGTCAACAACTATGATAGTTAGCTGACCATCATTAGCTGAACAGAAGGCTGCTCACAACATAAATATAATCTTTATCCCCCTAGGTTCTCTTCTGCTGTGATCATAAAATAAATGGCGCTTGATTTTTATATGAGATATTCCTGATCACAAGAATATGTCATTTGACCATAGAATATTTTTTTTTGTAAGAGAGATCACAAAATACCAAACCAAAAACTAGTTTTGAAACAAACTTGTTAGTCACAGAAAATCTTTGTCATGATGACAAGAAAAGAACATTTTCAAAATCCCGTCCTCTCTGCCTTCCAGTGTACAGAGACAGTGACAGTGTAAATTGATGTGATGGCAAGCATTGTTCCCGTCCAGTGCTTTCCTCATTCATTACAGTAAATATTGCAATCGACATCATTGCTCCACAGTTGTGGTTGTGGTCAGAAACACTTACAAAAATGTCTGCTGAGGCTGAATGCGGTGGAGCTGCAGCACATGAGATTGCATTATTCTTTGAAGAAATCTTCTGCAACGCATATTGACTAAAGCCAGAACCACAAGCATGGAGAAAATAATCAGTGGTGTTTGTTAACATAAGAGAGAAGCACAAAGCTGATGTGACAGAGCATTGGGAAGAAATGAATCATGAGAGTTCTCGTATGGCATTGCATTCATTATAGGAATGACAGAGTAGAGCACTTCAGCCTGTAGGCAGCGAGTTATCAGAAATAAAGGAGGTGACAACAGGACATACAGAGACATGTAGTCCGTAGGAAACTGTCATCAGTCACTCAGTAGTTTTATATTGTGAATAGAGTCCAGGTTTCTTTTTCTTTTTTTTCTTTTTTTTTTTTTTTTTTTAGAGATGCACTTGTGTCTAACATCACGGAGCTTCTTCCTCCCTCTCTCTCTCTATCTTTTTCTTTCTTTCTTTCTTTCTTTACATCTTTCTTTCTCAGTTTTCATAAAGATATCAAAATATTTTGTTTATTGTGAAGGGAAATGGGAACCAGTTTGAAGATATGTGGGTTTTTATTAAGTCTGTAAAAGCATTTCATTACAGATTTTATTTATTATGTTTTATATTCCTGCAAATGTTGCATTTAGCTCCACCACTTTGTTTGCAAACCCTTTTAAAGGTCTTCTTGAATGCAGATACCTCACCAATCTACCTGTATATAGTCATAGTAATGTATGAATACAAGATATACCTCATAAATTTCATTTATTTTTTATTGTACAGCCACCTGAAAACCAATGTTTTACTGCAACAGATCACTGGATTTTTTTTTTCTCTTTTTTCATATTTTGTATGATTATACCAAAGAAGGGAATATTTTATTGACACACATCTACCTCATTTGTTATAGACTGTGCCAACAAGCATGTCCACAATCTTAATTGTCAGTGTATTCATGGTGTTTCATATCCATATATTTGTGTGAACACAAAATGCTTTTCAGTCAAAGAAAAGCAACAATCGATTAGAGCAGGGGCGTAGGACAACGGGGGGGAAGTGCAGGGCTCTCATGTGAGGGGGGCCCACCATGAATGGATAGGTGTGGATGTGGGCCTATGTACAGGGTCCAGGATATTGTGGATATTGTGCTACGCCCCTGGATTAGACTAAAGAATTAAGCAACATGTTCAAAGTGCTTTTAATGTTGGGTGTTGTGCCGGCGCAACAAAACAGCCTTTTGTGAAACACAGCAGGGACACTTGTCAAAACAAATCCAATCTGCATGAAAACCTGGATATACAGTAAAAGGAAGACAGCACCATGTAACAATGAATGGCACAGATTTGATATTGTCCCATCAGCACCTGTAAAATATGACAAGCCCACTTCTGTCATGGTTTGCACTTCAGGTCAAGAAAAAAAACTGCTATTTTTTGGTCCCAGCTCGGAACCAACTTGTCAGGTTACAAACCAATTTATTTTTTGGTTGAAATGTTCTGTACAGCTCAACAGTAGGTGTGGGAACCAGAGCCTAGGGTTGCAGCAGTATACCAGTTTCAAGGTATATCGTGATACGAAAATTGATGGGTATCACACTGTCAATATCTCCTTATCAATGAACTGAAAGTTTTTACACACACTTCCATTAGAAAAATAGTTTAAAGTTTCAATTATAGTAATAAAACATTTGTTCAATCAAAAAGCCCTTTTCAGTCCTTTAAGGGTTGTTCTGACAGATAATAATTCTGTAATACTGTGGTACTGCGAAACCGCAATACTTGCTTAACGTAGCAACCCAAACAGAGTCCGTTTGGAGCAGAACCCATTCCATGTTGGTTGAAAAGAGCTGAGACTATACTGTCACACATACTGTCCCTGGAGTCAAGATTAGAACCCAGCAGAGAAATGGATGGGCTAATGTATCAGCCAATATTAACTAACAGCCCATTGTATTATGGCGGCTGATGATTGTCTGTTTTCTGGAACAAACAATAGTCTTTAGAACCCACAGGTGCACATAGACACATGACCACACATTACTATAGAATACTGCAGGTATTGCTTACCAGGAAAAGGGGCTTGGCATTGTGTGTTAGCATTATGAAAACAACGCCAATGCAAAGTCTATTATAAACAGCTGCAGTTTGGTTAGGTTTAGGAAAAGAAAAACACTTGGTTAGTTTTTAGGGAACAAAAAAATACTTGGTCAAGTTTAGGAAAAGATTGAGGTTTTGGTTAAAATAACTATGTATGGGATGTAAGTGAC